GTGTGTGTGTGCATAATCAATTCAATCACATACCTTTTTCAAATTGGACTCATCCCGACCCTCAATGGTCAATTATTTCGCTCTTCGCTCGTTGGATGCACACCCTCAAACTTGATTTTGTAACTATTTTCCCAAGGTGTAGTGTATGGTTAAATTTATATACTATTACTTACCATCTCTAGTTTGGTTAGATTTTACTAATTGTAGCTCAACACATCAATAAATGAGGATTCTCCTTAATTTTGATCGATACAACCTCCAAGAATCAACTAAGCTACTAATCCCTTATCAAAGGTTTAATTCTCTAAAATAAGTGTTTGGAACTTAATCAAAGCATGTAGTGCGTCTTCTGTTTCATGCACTTGCTTTTTTCATTTAGGGTAGCTTCACAACATGGCAGCTTTTTCCCTTCTATGCAATGATTAGTGCAATGCCCCTCATTAAACACTTATTCTCGAAAATCGATCTTTAACTTAAGATTTTCACCTAATTATCATCTCATTGGTCTTAAGCAATCCACACAAAATTTAACACACATGGAATCCACATCTATCTCAATGTCTCCCCACAACAGCTCAACCACCCCAAACTATCCTATAATTGGTTTAGTTGAAATATTATTATTATTATTCTCAGGCCCCCGCCCCCAAAAATCCCCCCCGGCTGTAAGGCATCTCTCTCTCTCTCTCTTATACGGCGCCGGCCAGAAGCCACAGCGCCGGCCGTGCCGGCGCCGTCGGCAGCAGCGCCCCGGCTGCTGCCTGCACGCTGCTGCAAAATGCAGCAGCCAGCGCCGGCGGCGACACCGCCGCCGGCCATGTGTGGTAAAAATTTTTTTTTTTTTTTTTTTTTTTTTTTGGAAACATTTTGATTCCTTCCCCCAACCTAAATGAAACATTGTCCTCAATGAAAAGATAAAATGTGCAAAATATATGAAGGACAATAAGGAACAAAATTTTGAACAAAGGGACGGGTTTTGAGCTTTACTTGGAAAGTCTGTATAAACTTGGCCTAAATGAACCTTCAATTTCATTAGTGAAAAAAAAAATAACAATAAAAGAAACACACCTAAAAAAAAACACACAACATTATAAAACTAAAAATAAACATACAAAATAAAATAAAAAGAAAAGGGTATCAATCTTTAGAATCATGTATAGCAACGGACTCTTCCAATTTAGAGAAATTCTCAAAAAATGGTTTCAAATCGAGCTTTGGTTCTTTTTTCAAATGTATAATACTGATGCTGCCATGTATGTAAATACGTGTTTCAATTAATTACATTTTTAACCATGTATTTATGGAAATTGAATTTACGGCAAGAGAATTGAAATTAGAGAATAACATTAGTGTTTTTAAACAAAGTGAATGTAAAATGCCTTGTAAATGATATATCTTGAAGCACTTTTAGATGCTAATCACACTCCCAACCAAGATATTGCTAGTCTCTAGCAATAAAAATTCAAAAATAGTTCAAATGATATAGCTTGTCGTATTTGCCTTAGGATTTGAAATTGCTTATCAAAATTCTTCTAAGGTTTGCTACCAAAATATAGTCTAACTTGTCCAATGCTCGACCAGCTTGTGTGTGTGGATAATCAATTTAATCACATACTTTTTTAAATTGGACTCATCACTACCCTCAATGGTCAATTATTTCTCTCTTCTCTCGTGGGATGCACACCCTCAAACTTGATTTTCTAACTATTTTCCCAAGGTGTGATTTATGGTTAAATTTATATAATATTACTCACCCTCTCTAGTTTGGTTAGATTTCACAAATTGTAGCTCAACATATCAATAAATGAGGATTCTCCTTAATTTTGACTGATACAACCTCCAAGAATCAACTAAGCTACTAATCCCTTATCAAAGGTCTAATTCTCTAAAATAAGTGTTTGGGACTCAATCAAGGCATGTAGTGCGTCTTCTGTTTCATGCACCTGCTTTTTTCAAGTTTGCCATGCGTATTCTATTTCATGCACTAGCCTATCTCTTTTTATGTATATAATTGTCCTCATTGGGCTCTTTTAGGGTAGCTTTCACAACATGGCAGCTTTTTCCCTTCTATGCGATGATTAGTGCAATGCCCCTCATTAAACACTTAT